TCAAACGGCAGATTTTCATGGTAATATATAGTGATGGCCAAATGAAGCTTTCTGAATCACCTGAAGCTTGTATCAAAAAAGGTTCACTACTCTGGGCTTTCTAACACAGGGCTCTAGATCAGTGTTTTTCAACCACTGTGCCGCGGCACACTAGCATGCCGTGAGAGGTTTGACACATGCACAGGAGCTTCTGAGTCAAACAGGCCATCAGTGGTAATATAGTGAGTTATAGGGCCTACCAAGTAATAAAAATGATCGGTTTCTACATTTATGTATTGATTACCATTTTTCTGTATGTGTTCTTAACATTCAGGAGCAAACTGTACAAAGGCCTTCACGGGGACCTTCCTGACTTCTCGGTTCTGCGGGTTTCTGAAGTCTACCAACCTTTCTCCGATGCTGACCGGCCTATGATCTGCAGCACGGGAATAGGCAAAGATATCCCACTGGTGGACTCGCTGCTCGGCAAGGTGCAACAAGGAAGTCTACTTTCTTATCAGCAACCACCCAAAGAGAAAGTGAAGACCCTCCATAATGCTCCACTATTGCCTCTGCAAGACTACAGACTAAAACCATCAGAATGCATGTTTGTCTGTTCCAGGAAGCAACAGCTGCACATGAAAAGTCTTGAGGTAACCTTCGAAATGTCCCGGAGCATAGAATGTGCTACGCGAGAGCAGAGTGTGTGAGCCGATTGGCACAATGTACGGAGACCACGAGTGACTGCATCTTGATTTAGAGAGATCTGTCATGTGGGTGAGCTCTCCGAAGAGCTGCTGGCTGAACACATCTTGAAAGGTACTTGCCAGACAGGCCCAATGAAGAGGGGTTTAGAGGTAGAGGCAGATGCTATCTGGGAATACTGCCAGATAAAATGAGTGAACCACTACAAATGTGGATTTGTCGTGTACCCGGACGCACCGTGGATTGGTGCATCACCAGATGGCATCATTTTTGACCCCTTAGAGCAACCTCAGTTTGGCCTATTAGAAATAAAATGTCCAAACATTAAAACTTTTGTAGACGCACCTTACCTCAAGGTCATCAGTGGGACATTGCAGCTTAAACCATCACATGCCTATTATTGGCAAGTTCAGGGCCAGCTGCTAACTACAGGGATGAGTTGGTGCGATTTTGTGGTCCCTGCTCAAGAAGATGTGTTCATCCAAAGAATACAGAGGGAAGAGGGTGTGACGGAGACAGTGAAGTGTAAGAGACATGTTCTATTTTCATGTGTTCATGGACAAATTCCTTGTCATAAATGGTTAGCTTGTTATTCCTGACTTAAATGTCAACTTGTATGGTCTGAAAAGGCATTTGTATTTTCCATGTGGTTCAAATTTTTTTATGTATTAATATCTGCAGAGTTTGTGTTTAAACCATTAGATACTGTAATTGAGGAACAGAAACGGCTCGTCAACTGGCAACAATTTCTGGAAGAGAGAGAAAAAAAAACAGTCCAGTCGGCAACAAAAATATGTAATCACCACAGAACAACCAGGTAGTAATTTTGTTGAACTTACAGTTGGTCTGTTCATAGGGCTCTCGGTGGATGTGCTGGTTGAAAAGCTCTTCTGACCACTGGTGACCCTCACCATTCTGCTTGTTGCCTCTTCAGTTAGGTTCCAAAAGGCCATCAGATGCTCTTATGATGGAAATCTGCATTTAAACAGTGAAAGTAAATTTTATTTTTCTGGAGCGATTGCTAATTTTCAGAATGGAAACAAAGGGGTGCCTTCATGAAATAATTTTAAAAATGTGTGTGTGTGTGTGTGTTCGATCTAAAATGGTATACCTATATAGAGTAACTTAAAAACTTCAGGATTACTTACCTTGTATAGTACCGAATGTCATCGGGTGATGTTGTTGCAAGCTCTCGCATGCCAAAAACAATGGAGGTAATAAACAAAGTCATAAGGAGAGCAAATATAAGCTCGTGCGAGTAGAATCAGGCAGGAGTGGTCCAACTGAACAGGAAACAGCAGAAGATGTGGTACCGAAGAAGGCCAACTGAAGAGAAATCTCAGGAAATGAAAGTGTGGAAAGTTCTGGACTTTGGGTGGAGTCTGAGACCAGCTTACAAATATAACATATGGGTTTGGCTGTCTTGTGTTTGACCAAGATATGAAACTGACAAATAATCACATTGTTTTGCTGTCTTGTGATAAAAAGATGTATGTAACTGGCAAAAGATTACATTGTTTAGGCTGTCTCATGACTAGTTGAGATATTGCTTCACTATGGAAAATGTTTTTCTTGGCAGTTTTTTAGAATGATATATAAAGGACAGTTAGAAGTAGAGAGGGAGTCTTGGACTTGGACAGTTAGAGTTGACACAAGTTGACGAAGTAGCAGCAGTTATGCTCAGGAAGATTTTTAGAAGCAGCATCCTCCTAAGGGGATTGTTAATCTTATATTTACTCTTTTTTGTATTTTTTAATTTTGAAATAAATTTTTTGGAAAAAGAATCCTCGTTCTCGATTCTTAAAGGTCTCCTTTAGCCTTTTGAGTTGGGAGCCCCGACCAGACCTAAAGGAGAAGTAAGCCACCTTGACTTGCTTGCTCCTTTGCTTCAGGACTTGTTTTCAGGTTGTGACAGATTAAGAAAAGATACCTTAGGTAATGGGAGCTAGTCTCCCCTTTTCCTTGGTAGCGGGACACCCTAAGGATTATAGATCATAATGGTTCGATGGTTCAAACAGGCTCTGTTTTGCACTAAAAAAGTCTTTTTAGCGTGGGAAGGAACCATTTCAAAGGGTGGATTAATTAGATTACTTGATAAATCCATGTTAGCCTGATCAACTAACAGGAATCATTTTCTAGCTACCACCGCCCACATTGCTGACAGAGGCGCAAATTAATCCTGATAGGACCCAAATAATAGTCACCTAGATGGCCTCTAGTGAACTTCCGCCCTAGTATTAAAAACCATTAAATAACGGGAGAGTTAAAAGGGAAGTGTGTTATCACAGAAGAACAAGTACGACAATCTTCATTCCACCTTAAAATAGAAAACGAGTTCTAATTAGGGAGTCCAAACCAGGGTCAGTACGATAAAACTCACCTGCGGCCTCAATCTCCCTGAAAACGCAGCGTATTCTAAGGTTCTAACGGAACCAATAAAAGTACACGCTCACGACAATGTGGCAAATTGTTGCAGTCCAAACCCCTGAGTGAGGTGGTATGACTCAAGCTGCTGCCTGAGCTCCTCAATCTCCCTTGACATAGATTCATATTTAATGCGATCTACGACAATCAAAGAGCTTGCTGCATAATCATGATCTTCAATCATGGGGATGGAGGCTGGATCAGACTCAGCATAACCTGCAATAGGGATATCAGTGCTTCTATCCTCTGTGTTGTCGTCCTCGGTTGCCATAGCCACGGTGTCAAGAGGCTGAGGGCGGCGCTCCCAAACTCCGGGTCGCTCTGACTTTTTCGTGTAGTCATTCCAGTGGAATAATGACGGAACAACTTTTGGCTGAAGACATCGCTTTCCAGAAGAAGACAAGAAGATCTAGCCAGTCTCAATATGCCAACTGCACACTCTAGAGCTGGCGGTAACTCTGAAGCGGTCCCTTCTGATTTTTATCAGCCATTGTGCCCGCAACTCAGAATCCTTGGGAAAGGAGTGAAAACTAATGATTTTGTTAAATCTCCCCCAACAGTACACAGCGGGACTCAGCAGTGATGAGTGTTCCCACCTTCTGCTCTTTGTAGCTTAACGCGATCATTCTGTTTTTGTAATTTTGACATGACTTTTGAGTCCGCAACAGTATTACTATGTTTATTATGTTTATCTATTTCGCAGACGTTTTATCCAAAGCGACTTACAATACAGTAGCGATTCAGCATAACAAAAGCACAAAAAAGTTAGCAGAAATTAACAACTACATCCGGTCTCAAACATCTTTTATTTTTTAGAAGAAATGCTTTTAGCGCTTCTACTTGTGGTTTAAAAGACATTTGTGTCATTTAGAACAGAGGAAAGAGCTGCAGCGAACTCCGCCGCTGTCTTCGTTGTTTATGAGAAACTGAGCATCGCCGTGTATGACGTGAATTAAACAGGAGGAGTCTGGCAGGCCAGGCTATCTTTCTCGTACCATTAGCGCCTATTTTCTTCTCCTACCCACCATTCATTGCACTGTAAGGTCACTGAACACATGCTTCACACTAAGAAGTTCAGCTCACCTGTTGACCGCTCAGACATCCCTTCATTCCTTCTCACAAGCTTTGATCTTCTTAGGCGATCCTCCAGTCATCCGAGTAGTCAGTTAGTGTTTCTTATCCTTACCTTCGTACCCCGTAACACTCTCGTAACTTAAGCACTCAGTTCTTCTGGTGCGCGCCTTCAGCGTCCGCAGCACTTCCGTGTTTGGGTCTTACCAGTATAGACATATAGACACATGTTGGGTTTTTTTTACCTGGTAACGGATAAGATAAAAAATGTAGCGAAGTACAATGCTTACAAAGAACAATACTTAAGTAAAAGTAAAATTACAGATTTTAAAAACTACTTAAAAAGTATAAATGCACAATACACTGTCCACTCCCTTCCCCCTCAGTCATTTCTTTTGTCCTTTTCAGACTTCAGACTTCCTGGTCCTGTGTTCCTCTTCTTCTTGTTATTTCTCCAACGGCCCAAAGAGACCATAAATCGTGGATGTCATGATGTCACCTTTTCTTCTCCCAGTCTTCATCCGTTCACTTGTTTCTTCTTCTCAGTGCCTCCTGCAGGCTTTCCTCTTCTCCTCTGGGATTACCTCATCCTCTCGGCAGGCTCTGCTGATTGGTTCTTTTCCGGAGTCCACCCATCTGTCTCTCCTTTCATCTGTGGTGACCTTAGCCCAAACTCTGCCCCTCCTTTTTTAGGCCTAGTCCACA